ACATATTGGGCTGTGTTAGTAGGAGCATTGCCAGCAGATCCAGGGAAGTGATTATTCCCCTCTATTCGGCACTGGTGAGGCCACATCTGGAGTACTGTGTCCAGTTTTGGGCCCCCCCCACTACAAAAGGATGTGGACAAATTGCAGAGAGTCCAGCGGAGGGCAACGAAAATGATCAGGGGGTTGGGGCACATGACTTATGAGGAGAGGCTGAGGGAACTGGGCTTATTTAGTCTGAAGAAAAGAAGAGTGAGGGGGGATTTGATAGCAGCCTTCAACTACCTGAAGGGGGGTTCCAAAGAGGATGGAGCTCGGCTGTTCTCAGTTGTGGCAGATGACAGAACAAGGAGCAATGGTCTCAAGTTGCAGTGGGGGAGGTCTAGGTTGGATATTAGGAAAAACTATTTCTCTAGGAGGGTGGCGAAGCACTGGAATAGGTTACCTAGGGAGGTAGTGGAATCTCCATCCTTACAGGTTTTTAAGGCCCGGCTTGACAAAGCCCTGGCCAGGATGATTTAGTTGGGGTTGGTCCTGCCTTGAGCAGGGGGTTGGGCTAGATAACCTCCTGAGGTCTCTTCCAACTCTAATCCCCTATGAGTCTATGAAGGCTCAGGAGGAAAATGGTCTCTTCTTGGGACATTCATTGTATCCACAGTTCCAGTCTGAATCTCAGCTAAGAACCAGACTGTAATTCCCTGAAGTCAAACCAGGACACAGCATTGTTCAGGGTGAAGTTCTGGCTTCTTTGAAGGGAGTTTTGCCTTTGGCTTCAATGGGGCCAGGATTTCACCCTAGCTCCCTGAGGGTTTCCTGTTCAAACTCAGGCCTTGTCTACATAGGACATTTGGGCTGGTTTAACCTAAGGCATGAATTTAAGCGGCTTTAGTTCAAGTGCTGCAAACCCATGCTTGGACACGTATCTCAGTTTCAGAAGGGCCTATATGAGTGTCGTTTAAATTGATCGGGAAGAGGATTAAGCTAAATTAAAGTGAAATAAGAGTGTCCACGCAGGGGGGTTGCATTGGTTTAAATTGGATTTCAGTTAAACAGGTGCAACTTTCCCATGTAGAGCAGGCCTCTGAAATGTGCAGTTGCCGATTTACAGCCCATTTTCTGCAAATAAAAGAATACTACATTGGGGATTCTGACTGGCGGCTGTGCAGTCTTCTTTCAAGTCCTCCTATTCCGGATGTTTTTCTTTCGCCCTCAACTTGCAGCACAAATGTCCTCTGGTCCAGCCAAACTTTAAACAACTGAAAGATGGAGGGTTAGGACCACGCAAACCACCAGATACAAGTGTGATCTCACCAATCAAACCTGAAACCATTGCAAAAAGGTAACGTTTTTCACTGACCCAAAGCATATCTGCTCCGCTCCGCCACCTAGTGGCACTGATTGGTGCATATTGTAAAACTTCTGTGGTGAAAAATGGGTTACACGTATTACTTGAAGTCCCATTGATTTGGAATCAAAAGCCAAAGAGCAGACTTCTCTCACCCACCACAACTTTATAGAGCTGTATAAACCCCAGGGAAGTCCCGGAAGTGGTGCAGTGGCAGAGAATATCCCAATCCCCGAATGCCCTGCTAAAATCCACAGACAATCCTTGGGTATAAATTACAGCTAAAATATTGGCAAAGCCAGTTCGGCAGGGGACAAGGGAAGGGATGGAACCAGCCCGTTGTTTTCCTTGGAGTTGTCCACGCACCCTGCTGTATGCTGCCTGCTTCTCATAATTAGAGCGTCTGGACGGGAGATGCCGCTGCTGAAGCAGCCGGGAAAAGGGTTTTGCGAGCGTTTCAGACCAGCACAGTTGGAGCGGTGATTAGAACACAGACAAGCCCCGTGGAATCCACCCGAGATGAAAGCCCATTTCGACCCGAGGAAAGGTGCTTGTGTAACCCCTTGCAGTCTGACAGAGCTGCCAGAGGAGAGCAGTGATGGAACACACTGCCCAGGTCTCAGGCCTTCTGATCCCGCCTCAGACTGGAAGCGTCATTAAAAGCCAATGCAGTCAGGTCTGAGCTACTCTGCTTCCTCCATACACTGACATTTAGCAGCCTCATTTGGCCATATCCTCAGCTGGTGCGCACCAGCCAGGTTCCATTGACGTCAATGCCGATTTGCACCAGCTGAGGATCTGGCCCACTGTCTGCTTTAAATGTAGTCCAAAAGAAACAGAGCTACAGGAAGTCAGCCAAATTCATTTCCTCCGTGGTCCCAAGGGAGCGAATTCGAAGACTGGTGGTTATTTTAATTGAGCCTCAGTGACGTTATTTCTAATGACAACATTAGCTTGTATTTATTGTAGCACCATTCATCCACACAGATCTCAAAGTGCTTTCTAAACGTCCCTAACATACATAGAGACACATAGAAAGCACTTTGCACAACACCAAAATGCAGCCACCTCTGGGCCGCAGCAGTGCACAGCAACACGGCCGCAGACATGAGTCGACAGAGGGGACCCAACCAGTGAACTTCAGCACCGTAAGCACAGGCCTCTGCCACTTGACTCGGGAGAAAACACCGTCAGCAAGCTCCTGTCCTCACACAGGGTGACCACGGCGTGGCACAGCCACGTGAACATGGAAGACCAGAGCCCAGACAATGGAGGGGGCCATTATTACACGGTAACTCTGCAGCCGTCATTCGAGGGGAAGTGTAGCGAGGACCACGGTCACCCTGGAGGAGAGACCAGATATGACTGGCCTCTCTGGGAGGAGGAGCAGCCAGCCCAGGGGAACTGTAGTTCAACCAACCCAGCCCCCCTCCCACTTCACTGTCCCCCTGGGCGGGCATGTCACAGCCACACAGAACTTCACCGCAACAGCTGGGACCGAACCCAGAGTCACATGCTCCAGGGACACAAGCGCTTCCTACCAGGGCCGAGCCAGAATCGCCTGCAGTGCTAGCAGGATTGGGGTGGTGAGGGAAGCGGTTTCATTCCCTCCTCCCTCTTGCACACAGAGCCAGGCACCAGCTCAGCCTGGATGGATAATGGTGCTGAACACAGAGTCCCGCTCTTTGCCGTGAATCGGGAGCCGTGTCCCTTTCTCCTTAGTGCCGGCCCCTCTAGCTACCCTGCCAGGACCTAGTCTGAGCTATGGACCCCCCTGAGGGTGTCTGCCTGCCAAGGGCCTTGCTGCTCTCAGCTGGGGGGAGATCAGCAACAGCCCCTGCAAAAGAAAGGAGCAGAGCAGGTCTACGGAGCGGTAAGGAGTCATTGGAGGGCAGCCTGGCATGCTGTGGTTAGCCACAGCTACGCCCCAGGGCCGGGAAACAGGCAGTGACTGGTGGCTGTGAATGCTGCCATAGGACAATGACGGAGGGTTTGGAGATTGGCTGCAGAGAAGCACCGAAAAGCTCAGTGGTCCAGCGCCCCAGGTTATTCAACGGGCTGGGGACACTGGGAAAAATGTTGGAAAAAACCCTCATTGTGTAACTCAGCAAGGCTGCACTGGACTCAGTAGAGTGAGCTGAGGCTCTCGGGCACATTTTCTCGACTCAGAACAGGGACTCATCACCGGATCACAGATGGTCCCATGCCGTAATTGCTGGAAAGGGCTCCCTTTAATCCGTCCAGCAGCAATGGAAACAGAGTGAATCAAAGCCACCATCCCAGCCCAAACTCTGCATCAAAGACCTGAACTCTGGCCTTTGCAAAAACAAACACCCAACAGAGCCAGGGAAGAAAAACAAGGCGCAAGGCAACGAGCCATTGGAACAAATAAAACAGAGGCTGTTAAATGCCTGGTATGCACAATGTGTTGGGACTTGCTGCTGTCAGCAGCGTGAGCAGACATTCACATGCAGCCATTCATAAGACGCACGGTAATTACCTTCTGCAGAGGCTGTATTGTGATGAGTTCTTGAAGCAGAGCATGATATCTCTAGCAACAGAATATCATTACAGTGGAGGATACAGGCTTAACCCTCACAAAGCTCAGGGAAGGTGCTGGAGGGGGTGCTCTGCTGGGAGCTCTCCCATTGTTAGTTATACTCATTTTACAGGGAGCCAAATGCTCATTTCACGTGAGATTATGGCAGGATTGTTCCCAGCAGGACTCTGACCTTTTCCCCCTGAGCTCAGGGAGAAAAGCTCGGAGCATCGCATAACTCTCCCCCAGTTGGCACCATCCTATAGGCCACCTGAGTTCAGCACAGCCAACCTATGTTGGATTGACAGCTCGGGGATAAAAACTAGAGATCAACTTGAAAGTGGAACAGCGGGGGGAGTCCGGCGATGCTCCGGCAGAGTTCAGATGTTGATCCAAATTTCACGGCTCAGGCCCATCTCCACAAGGGTTTGACTCTCAGCATACTGGACCCGAACACCTTGCCTCTAAGTCACAGTCAATCTCAGCAGCTCTACCAATTCTGTACTGGTGGAGGGTAGTGCCATGTCCAGCTGTAGGTGCCTCTGAACCAGGCATGCCTCCTCCTGGTAGTTAGGTTGTGGGGCCTCCCTGTGCTACCAGGATAAGCTAAAGTCTTTGGCATGCTGTTCACTGCCTGTGGGTCTGATTACTCTGTTCTGTGTAGGGTCTTATACTGCCCTTATCGCTGCAGTATCTGAGTCCCTTCCAGTCATGCACGCAGTGATGTGACTAACATCCGTCACCTGGGGTTCATTCTCTCTCAGCCTCTCCCCAACTTCTGTCTTTGGGGTGTGGAGGGGGGAGCAACAGGAGAGCTGGACTTCCCCCACCCATATTCCTAGGATGAGGCTTCATGGGATCAGCTTGCCTGCCTCCTTCCCCTCCGCTCATTTGGTAACAGCATCACCCCAAACGTTCCATCAAGTCCTACTGCTGCAACCTTTGCTCACCCCACCCACCACATGCTGTGCCAGGAGGGATCTCCCTAGCTCACTGCCCTGGAGAGATCCCAGAACATCAGGAGGACGCAGGAAACGACAAGGAGACAACAGCTTTCAGCTAAGCAAAGGGGCTTCAATTCCCCCCCAAGCCCTGCCTCTGGCTGCTGTTGGTACTCACTTGTCCAGGGACCTCTCAGGAAAGGTGAACTGGCCATGGCAGATACGGTCGATGTAGCTCAGGGGGATCCGCTGCACCTGGAGACAGCTGAGCATTATGAAGTCATATTTGCAGACCAGGAGGTTGGCATCTGTGATCACCATGACACGCTCCCTCTCGTTGTTCCAGTGATCTATCCTGGGGACAAAGCAGAGAGTTCAGGCAGCGACCCTCCACGCCACTGAGGGAGGAGAGCAGGTTGTGCTGATTACTGAAGATCAGAGCAGGAATCCAACCTTGGTTTGCATAAATAACCAGCACTGAAATTTGAAATGGCCCAGATATGTCTACACCAGTGCCTAAGGGTGGATGGGTCCCTAGGCTTTCAGCAGGGCTGGCTCCAGCTTTTTTAGCAGCGAAGAAAAAAAAAGATAAAGTTGCGATCGGCGGCACTTGGGCAGCAGCTCTACCGCGCCGCTTCATTCTTCGGCGGCAATTCGGCAGCCGGTCCTTCCCTCCGAGAGGGACTGAGGGACCCGCCGCCGAATTGCTGCTGAAGACCTGGATGTGCCGCCCCTTCCCATTGGCTGCCCCAAGCACCTGCTTCCTGTGCTGGTGCCTAGAGCCGGCCCTGGCTTTCAGAGCAATTCCTATAGGCCCCTGGTAGTTTAATCCCTATTCCGTTCTGTAGGACTTTCCCATGTGGGAAAATAGAAAGCTGCTTTTTTTTCTAATTTGAAATAATAATTAAAATAAAAAGAAGAACAGTCTGCTTCCTGGCTTGGAAACCCCAGGGATCAGCTTGGGGCACGTTTGCAATCGTTACATCTCTCGAGCATATTGTTCACTAACTTTTACAGAAGGAATGCATTTTCTATCCAGTAGGTGGCAGTGCAGAGAGATTCCCCCCCCCACCATTTGAAGCCTCTCCGAAAAGTGATTACAACATTTCACGGCTTATTAAGATCTTGCTACATCTGGACCAGGGGAAAACCACTTGTGTAATTCGTAAACTAGCTTTAAGGATCTGTGTCTTGAGAATCCCAGTTAGCCACGATCACTCACTAAAACATGTCTTTTGTCCGACAAAAACGAACGACTGGTTGGAAGGAAGCTCGGAGCGTTTAGAATATTCAATTCCGAGTTCAAAACCCCAAAGGACTGTCTGTGAATGGTTTTAAGTCCGTGCTCTGCAACTTCGTATGTCAGCCACTTTACAGACTGGCAGGGAAAAGGCCTTGCCACTCAAACACGTCTGTCAGCTGGTGCGCTAATCATAGAACTGGAAGGGACCTCGAGAGGCCATCTAGTCCAGCCCCCTGCAGCCTTCTTATAGGGCCCAGCCTAGCCCTGATTGGCTGCTTTCAAGCCTCCACTTGAGTGGCTCCCAATAAGCCCTTTCATGATTGGCTGGGGCTCTGCGCAGCCTCTCTGACTTGCTCTAACCCCTTCCATGCCAGAGTGGGGCAGCTGCCCCACTAGTCTCTTTGAAAAACTGCCAACGGTCTTTTGTTTTTCCCCTTAGACTTGCTTCCTGTGGGATCTTACCTACCGAGTCCCCGCGTTTGCTAAAGTCTGCCTTCTTGAAATCCCTTGTCTTTATTTTGCTGTTCTCCCTCCTACCGTTCCTTAGAATCATGAACTCGACCATTTCATGATCACTTTCACCCAAGCTGCCTTCCACTTTCAAATTCTCAACCAGTTCCTCCCTATTTGTCCAAACCAAATCTAGAACAGCCTCTCCCCTGGTAGAAGTCTCCACCTTCTGAATTAAAACATTGTCTCGAATACATTCCAAGAACATATTAGATAATCTGTGCCCTGTTGTGTTATTTTCCCAACAGACGTCTGGGTAATTGAAGTCCCCCATCACCACCAAGTCCTGTGATTTTGTTAGTGATTATGGTGATTTTAGTTTGGATGATTTTGTAGCAGATTCTCTTTCTAGTACAGAATAAAGATGAGCTTTTAAAAAAATCCCATGAAGGGATGTCACTGAAGTGCATCCACTCCAGGTTGTGGGTCCCCCAGGATTATAATAACCAGAGGCAGGTCTAAATTAGTAGAGGAGAATTTAAGGAGACTGAGCCAAACTACATTGTGCTGCCACCAACTGGCCACAGTAAGCAACAAAAAACTTTGCAAAGAGAAGTGTGCTGCAAGAAGCTGACTGCATTGATCTAGTTGCAATTACTGAGCCAGACCTAGTTGCTTCCCAGTGAGCTTTGATCCTGGGTAACACTGCCGACTCGCCGGGTGTCAAATACACACACCGAGGTGCTAAGACACACTCTCATACAACCTATTCTACTCTGTATCGATTATCACCATGGTATCTGAGAGCTTAAGGGTGAGCAAATGTGCACACACAAAAAACCCATTCATATACTACACACAAGAGTATCTGTTCCCTGAGCTCTCAGGAGCTCTGGAGCGGACAGGTACCCTTCTTCCCCCCGTGGGACAATCCTGATTTTTGATTCATCAGGGTTAACTGACAGCATAGGCGCCGACTCCGTGGGTGCTCCAGGGCTGGAGCACCCACGGGGAAAAATTAGCAGGTGCTCCGCACCCACCGACAGCCAAGCTCCCCGCTTCTCATCTCCTTCTCCCCCACCCAGCATGCCGCGTTCCTGCTCCTCCCCCTCGCAGTGCTTCCCACACACACACCCCCACGGCCTAACAGCTGTTTGGTGGCGCTTAGGACTTTCCTGGAGGGAGGGGGAGGAGCAGGGACATGGCGCGCTCGGGGGAGGAGGCAGAGAAGAGGTAGGGCAGGGGCGAGGACTTGGGGGTGGAATGGGGGTGGGAAGGGGGCAGGGCTGGGGTGGGAAAAGGCAGGAAGAGAGCAGGGACTTTGGGGAAGGGGTGGAATGGGGGTGGGGTGAGGACGGTGCAGGGTCAGGAAGAGGTGGGGCAGGGGCGGAGCCAGGGGCGGAAGGGGGGGGGTCAAGCACCCACCGGGCAGAGGGGAAGTCAGCGCCTATGATTGACACAATAAATGGAGAGATGTTTTTGGTCTATCAACTAAATAACTAGCCCTGGCCAGAACCACTTTTAAAGATGTGTATTTAAGCTTCAGACAGAGGCCACTGATGGTCGGCAGATACTGCACTTGATGGACAACTGGTCCAATAGAACACATCATTTGCCTTGAGGCCTTTCAGTGAGACACTTAAGGAGCTCAATCTCTTTAGCTTCCTGAAGAGAAGGATATGAGGTGACTTGATCCCAGTCTATAAATACCTCTAGCGGGAGACGGGACCGGAGGTTTGAAAGGCTCCATGGCCTAGCAGACAAAGGCAGAACTGCAGTGGTTAGAAGCTAAAGTTAGACAAATTCAAACGGGAAATGAGATGTAGATAGACAAGATTAAGATTAGATAAAATAGACAGACAGCGATTGATTTTTAACCCTGTGGGTAATTAACTATGGGCACAACTTACCTAGGGATGTGTTGAATTCTCCATCAGTTGGAATTGTTAAATCAAAATTAGGTGTCTGTCCAAAATAGACACTCTAGCTCCACCACAAGTGGGTGAAGTTCTCTAGCCTATGTTACACAGGAGGTCAGACTAGATAATCACAACGGTCCCTTCTGGGCTTAGAAAATGAGCATCTAGGTCGCTATTGTATATAATCTCTCTACATGCTCATCTGCCCTGGGAAACCATGTAATAAAGACCAGGGTAGCCATTAGCTCAGTGCACACGTTTCCATCATAGGGAGCTCATAGAAAAATGATGCATTTAATTGTTATCAGAGCCACACACCCACTATATATTCATTCTGGCCACAGGAGGTATTCCCTGGATGCTGTCACGGCCCAGCCAACAGACGTTAACATCACGTCTGACACCGGGGCACCAGCAGGCCAGTGTGTTGGTCCCTGGGCTAGGAGAGCTGGGAATGGCCACAGGGGAGGTGACAGAGGTGGAGGACTCAAGTGTGGGGGTGAGGTGGTGAGGTGCCAGGAACCCCCAAAGAGAGGTCAGTCACCCACAGGGCAGGATTAGGAGCTGAGAAAACCTGGGGATTCATGTGCCCCCCCCCAGATACAGGGTTCTTACAGGCACAAAGAGACGCTGACTCTTGGGGGCAAAGGACAGCGCTAACACCCGGATGCAGACTCTGAGGAGTTGTAGATGGGGATGGCTATAGCTCGATTACAGAGACGCTGCTCAGTTATCCAAACGCACACTCCGGAGGCCTGGAAAGGGCCAGTCCAACTCCCCCGGCCGTCAAAGGAAAGGCGGCCGCTGCCCTCAGTGAATGCCTCTAACACAGGGACACGGGCGCCGGAGCAGAGCTCCATTTGCACCTGCCCGGTTCCCTGAGATGGTCTCTGCTGACGGGTCAGAAGCGTTTGCGATTTCCACAGTAGTTAAGGGAAGGGGGCGGGGGAGGGGGATACTGACTGGTATAATAAGGCCACCTCGTGGACTGCACTTAGCAAGCTCAGGCCAGCACCTCTGCCAGGCCAGCGCTGGGCCCTGCCGAGCTGAAGGGGGTGAGGAGGGACCGTAGCATCATTCTGCAACTGCCCCCACCAGGCCCACATTGCCTGGCAGAGTTTGCTGGAGCGCAGCAGCCTTGGGCCACGTCCCAGACAGAGAAGGATAGCCCAGGGGCAGCGAGGGGGTGATGTCAAGGTGCTATGCCAGCTCTATGCCATGCGGCAGTGCCTCCCCGCACTGGGGTGCATCCCCCCCGTGTCAGATCCAGCAGCCACCCCGCCCGTGGCTGCTGCAAGAAGGGACAGGCCAAGAGCAGACATCGCGCACGATGCAGCTGCGGCAGCCCGGGAGCTATTCTGTGCACACTTTGCGGCCTGAGCAAAACGGAGTCGGTGCAGGAGTAAGGTAGGGACAGGTGGCGAGCCCATCGTGGGCAGGTTGGGAATCCAGAGCCTCGGCACAGCTTAACTCCGGTGCTCCGGATAGCAGGGAACTAGGAGCGTTTCACCCAGGCGCTGTCAGCAACTCCTCATGACCGACAGCGCTTTCTGGGCACAGGACCAGTAAGCGTGGTGGGCTGGGGGAGGGGAAGGGAGGTGCGGCACAGCTGTCTAGTTAGGCACAATGGGCACAGGTGACCCACTCCCTGGCAAACCGCCTGCCCGCTACAGTGACAGGAGAGGGAGATGGGAAGCACAGCACATGGATCTGACGGCTGGATTTCATGGATGGAAAAAAGCA